GATGTTGCGAAAACAAGGTCAAACAACTTCTATACAATGAAAGGAGACTAAGACCACACAAAAGGTCACACCATCTTGTTCTTCATACCTTCATCACAAATACCTTCACTCGAAATGAAATAAAGCCAGACAATTGGACTCATCGAAACGCCTCGAAACCCGACTTTACTTTGCATTCTCCTCTTCGCTTTAAAGTATTCTGGCTGCCCATGCCATCGCAAGATTGCACCTCAGTACTACTTTCAGTCTGAGACACTGCCGCGTCAAATGCCTCTCCCGCCCTACCCACTACCACAAAGACCCGTTTCCCTACCAGCTTGCCCATATTCCCTCTGCAGGCATTGTCCATTGCCCGCTTCTTCGCCCTCCTGTCGGACTCTCGACTGAACTCCGTCCGCTTAACGAACCCGCTACTCCTTCCCCAATGCACACATGTATTCATATCGATAGTCATACATGTTTTGCCCATTTGTACGCATCATGTTGAGGGCCGCTTTTGTGCCAGCTACCAGCTCTCTCCTCTTTCGGCCAAATCGCCATCTTCCTGTCATGTTCGGCTCGACAGATGGTCTGAGCATGCATGCCTGGCCGCTCATCCGGGGCGGATTTCATTTCGCGGTTGACTGATTCTCATTTCGACTGCCACATGACGCTTGCCACGTGCCGCTTCGACCACTTCTCGCTTCCAATCTCACCCAACGCATTAACCTCCGGCCCACTCGCTTCACATCTACTACGCCTCACCTCATCTCCATCAAGGCTTTTAACATTTTTCATACCCTTTGCGACAGTCCACAGAGAGCCCCACTTGTCCCACTTCCTGTACGGCCTTGCTGCACCTTTCCACTCTCCTAAGCGAGTTCCCAACCGAAAACCGTAGCCTCGTACTCTGACATTTTCAACTAACGATTACGCCTTCGGACTGTATGGGCTAGACAATGAAAACCCTCAACCTTTTTGGTATGAAATCCACCTGTGCTGCCGCCTCTTGGTACACCCTAGTCACTCATTTCTTCCTCTCTCTCTCTCTCTCTCTTGAACTCGAACTAGAATTCTGTGCAAACTCAATTGGCTTCAGGACCGTCTGCGCATCACCGGTCGACTTTGAGGCTTGTCAACCCGGCCGGCTCTGGACCAACGAAGAGCCCACCAGTGACAATTTAACCCCTCGAGGGGCTACAAACTGGTCTACTCAGGATAGACTGAGAGTTGCGACCACAGCACCAACTGGTTTCGTCTCTCCGAATTCATTTTTCTCTCTTTCTTATCCCCTCTTCTCTTTGGCCAAACTTCTTACTTCTCGTGCACACTCGTACTTTTTGCTTCTCTTCCATACTTTCTTACGACTGGAACTATCTGTACTAAAATTGCTTTCTCATCAGATGGCAGGTTCCAGTTCGTACAGAGCCGCAAGTAATTTCCTCTTTCCGCTAGACCTCCATTCATTAATGTGACATTCCTTGTTCCACCTCTCAGTCGAAGGCTTAAGGATCGTTTACTTGGCCTCGGTCCTTTGATGTAAAGTGGAGTTAAAGCAGAGTCTAATTGCTTGCCCCTATCCATCTTGCCATAATTTAGACAGGCTCCTGCTTTACCTCCGAACCCCGGTCTTCCTTTAGCCCCGACTCACGTAAACAGATAGTCACCCACATGCTCAGGGGTTAGGGAATCTCCAGACCATTAACAAGGCTAGTGGGGTCAACATGAGCCTCAGCGGTAGCTCCAACCAAATCTTGATACTCTCTTTTTAGTCGCTTTACACAGTCACTTTTATTGTATCAACGCATACTTGCTCCTGAAACAAAATTCTTTTACGATCTTTCACATCAGGACTAAGTTTATATGACCTTCGGGTTGTTCTCATTCTCATTTGACCTAGTCTATCGCAATTTAATCGTCTTGCCAGAGAGACTTCGAATAATATATCCCAATCAAATCTTCTGCTATTGTTTACATGCATTCTCCCAGCATTTGATCAGCGATAAACACGACCGTGCATATGTTCAGCCAAGGGTCTGAGGCTGGAAAAAGGCAGAGGAGACAGTGTGAGGCATGCTTTTAGAGTCTACCTGAGTAGACGACAAAGTCACTATAACAAGATAAAACCAAAATATCCTGCTTTGGTTATATGAAATGTATTCACCCTATTTCGTTTAAGGTGATGAAAGAACGGCAAATGAATTTTCCCACAATGCTATGGGTAGACTTACATTTCCATTGAACTTCACATAGCCTGACTTCCCAAAAGGTATTTTCATCCCAGTTGGACGGCAGTTTGGACCTCCCCTTTGTCTGATCAGCACCCCTGGTGGGACTCGAACTATGACATGTTAACCACTACGCCGCTTTGCCACGAGCGCCATTGAGTCAGTCTGAAACATCAGCTCTAGTAATGGAACTGTGGGAAAATTCAACTTCCGGTCCTTCATCAGCTTAAACAAAATAGAGTGAATAGATCTCATATAAATGATTTACTGCTTATAAACGAAAAATGTTATAGCAATTATAACTATGTTTCGTCGACATGCCCACCAAAATATATGCTATGGGAAAATGTCTGGCCTTCCTTATAATTCACATCTGTCCAAGCCCCCACACACAAGCACACTCGTGTAAATGCGGCGGAGTGGTTAACGTGCCGGGCTCACACGCTGCACTGTCATGGTTCGACTCCCGCTGGATGTTTTGATAAGACCGATGCGAGGTCGAAACTGCAGTCCATCCTGGATGATAACAACTTTTGGAAACCAAGGCTATGTGAAATTCAATAGAACGTCAGCTCTACTCATATTATTGTGGTAATATGCGACTACCGGTCCTTCATCACCTTAAACGAAATAGGGTGAATCCACTTCATATAAGTGATTTGCTGAAAGTCTCGAAACTCTGCTTATAAACGAAAAATTCTGCTTTTATAACGGCAAGCAGCCGCCATTCTTGGTTTCGTGTTTTGGGAAATTTGCTGAATTAAGGCTAGAAAAAGCTGGTTTCACAGCTGTTGTTGATTATTTAAGCAGCGTCTTAGACCTTCACTACACGTCCTCAGACCCGTGCTAAACTTTCTTACCTCGCATTGTGATTAAATCGTTTGATCGATAAATACTTTTTATAATAACTCCTTAAATGCCAAGAATAATGCTATAATTCTGCAGAACTTCTAAAACCCGATTTTG